GAAACCTCCTGTCATGTCATTTGGCATCTCTTTGATATTGCCACTGTGCTTCACTTTTCTTTAGGTCTCATTTTTTTCTCTTCATATTTATTTAATGTATTTGTTCATCACTGGAGAAATATGGCGCTCTCCCTTCTGCGCTCATGATTGTGATTGGTCTGCTACCTTGAATCTGCTCCTTTATATGTGCGCGTTCACAGATTCAGGATCGGTTCAAGCTGGATTGAGTTAGGGAGTTGATAACCAGCTTTGTGGTACATCTGGTTAAACTGAATAGGCTGGAAGTAATCCCACTACATGGTACAGGCCTCTGGTTTTAAGTCTATTTATCACCATGGACTGAACTTTTTAACTAGAAACACTGGATCTCCCCACAACACCTCCATGAACAACATATGCAGGTGTCTGCAGGATGTGAATAATGTATATAAAATAGATCCATCAGCCTCCTTCTCTACCTAACGCATATCTGCATATAGCTAGCGCCCATAATCCTTGTAAGTAGTGTGCAAAATTTTATATCAGAACATGTTCATCTTAGACTCACACATAATTGAGTTTTCTTTTTTTTTTTCACATATGTGGGCATGATTATTGTTCATACAGTGAGAAAAATTGCATATTAAAAAAAGGGTGTGTAAAGGGGGGATTCTATCCTCTCATTTGCTGGTTTTCATATTTATTATGATTTAACAAGAACCTTTTAACTACAGCAAGTATCTAAGACAGAGGTGGGCAAGTAATAATATCCCAAATAGGATGCCAGCCCTCAAGTTCCTGGGGGCCGGTATCCTGCAGCTTTTACATCCATCCAACACACCTGAATCAAATGGCTGAATTATCTCCTCAGAAAGCTGTCAGTTCCTCTTCTCAATCATCTAATTACTTGATTCAGGTGTGCTGCACAAAAGGCACATCTAAAGGTTGCAGGATACCGGCCCTCAGGAACTGGAATTGCCCACCCCTGATCTAAGATGTTGCTAAACCATGTAACAAATAACATGACACTCAAGATTCTGTAGAGATCTGGACGAATATCAGATGTAGTATATCTAATTAATTAATGAATATTTTTGTAGGATATGTAAGAAAACATGGGAGATTTGTGTTTTTTTAAGTGATTGTTTAAACAAACACTTAAGCAGGAGAAATAGATTTTGCAGATAGAAGGAAAGATGCCCAAACCAGTATGCATCCACTGGCTGCATGATGATCTACTGTAAAGCTGGAGATTCCAGTTTAATCAAGTCAGAAGGGGGGAGGATAATCCACCTTAAAAAAAACCGTCAAAAATACAAATGACACATCCCACTGTGACTCAAAACACCACAGTTAGCCAATACCCACTAGTTTCCACATCCAACTAAAATGGTTCATGCCAAATGGATATTTTATATAACCAATAATAATAGAACGGATGGATTTTCATTCAGATGGAAATAAACACTTGACATGAGGGCCGCGTCAGGGTGCAGGGAGTTCAGGGAATACGTGCGATACCAGATACACCAGCAGAACATGGAGTACTTCATGTCTTTACTGTGCTGATTTGCAATACTTACTATGTGGGCGAAATGACAAAACACACTGGTTATAACCAGATTTGGAGATAAACCGCTACAAAACATTTAGCAATTTTTGAATGCTAACGATGTAGCTACTACAGTTGACACGAAGCGCAACCCTGCAATGCACGGACTGCAACAACTATTTATTATCTCTAGCTCCACTGTGCTAAAGACTTATGAGAGTTTATAAATGCAGCATTTTATCTAAAGGGACAAATTATTCCCCCTCCTATATGAGCTGACCTTGTTGCAGCAACAGCTTAACTCTTGTTCGTGACTGTCGCATCACGTTTTGTTGTTGCCCTACAGTTATATAAGGTTTTTTTTATTATTATTAAGCGTCTGTATGTATTTGTTTGACGTAATTAACCAAATGTAAGGGAATTTAGACTGAAAATACGATATAATCGCAACAATGTGTTAAATGTCAATTTTTGTTTTAAAATAGCCTTGTCTATTTGGCTTTTATTTACAAGAAATAAACCAAAATGTTCTACTAACGGTGGTTTTCATAGCTTGTTTTAAGAAAATATGTGTTAGCTAAAAAAAAAAAAAAACAGTGGGCTAGCTCAGCTCATAGCTTCGGTTTATAGCATGTCTGTCTGTTAAACATGGCTAGCTAGCTAATACCGCTGGGGGGGAAAAAACGAATCACGTACATCGCTGTCGACTTCGATGTCATCGTTTTCGCTCATTCTTCGGTAAAAAAAAATGCTAAAGAAAAGAAAATAGGCAGCTGTCAAAACAAAATGCAGCGACAACTGGAGGCGAACACCAAACGTAGCGCGGAGCTCCTGCTACGGCAGAGGCATGACGAGAGACACATGGATGGGGAAAACAAGCACAACGCATGCGCAAGTTAAACAACGCATTCTGGGAAATGCAGTGAAAGTGTGTTACAAACCCAGTCTAAGCATAGGGGCTTTATGACGATTAAAACTACATTTCCCAGAACAATAACGGCTTGGGCGCACCCACACCCACTATAACGTCTACTTTAAGTTAGAAATTCCAACAACCGTGATACTTTGTTTAAGCTCACTGTGTTACTATGATGTCATATACTGTATGCTGTAGCTATATTGCAAGGAATAAAATAAATTAGCAACACATACTCTTTATATGTCTTTCGAAGCTACACTCCTTGATTAAAATCCATTATTGCATTAATATGATACTTTTATAATGTGATCTTTTATTGATGGGAAATGTATCAGTGTGTAGGACAACAACAGGGCCTCTTGCTCTACTTCACCATATGATTATGAAACCAGATGGCGGCTTTGCTCACGTCTGATGCCCTCCCCCACAACATCATCCATGCTTCACCATTTGCATGCAAAAGATCTTTGAATAAGATGCTGTGAAAATTATCACGTGACCTAAATCATCTGCGGCTCTCTAAAGATGGTTTTTTTTTTTCATTAAAAAGAAGCGTCTGTGTGAAACTTAATAAAAAACAGGATAAATGGGTTAGGCTACTCTATGAAGAATTACATGGTCGTATGCTCATTAATGGAAAGGGGAAAATTATCTTGTGAAAGTATTTGTACCTTTTGTACATTTCTTTTTATATTTTGTCATTTTACAACAAAATATGTTTATTTACATTGAGGGGATTCTACATAGTAGACCAAATATGACTTTAAAGTGTAGCAGAGGGGTGTATTGAAACTGGGCTTCAATACACCGATCTGCAATTGGCTGTTAGACTTTATCATAAACAGATCTCAGTCAGTCCAGATTGGACAGAACACCTCTAATGTCATCACCCTAAGCACAGGCTCCCCTCAGGACTGCATCCTGAGCATTGAGTGTAAAAGACATTTCATCCTAGTGCTGCGTGTCCCGAACCCATATCATCATCAATGACCCCTCACATCTCCACCATGCACTGGTCTCCCTGCTGTCCTCTGGGAAGAGGCTTCACAGCATTCAACACAGGACCAGCATGTTCTGGAACAGCTTCTTCCCCACCGCTTTAGGACTGCTGAATGTTAAAAAAAACTCTAAATAATTTCACAGACTGCATCAAACTGACCATATCAATGCGTTTTGTTTTTTTTTTCTCCCACAATGTTTACATCTGATCACTGCGGCAATTAAAGAAATGGAAAAGGCATGAGAGTTGTTCAAGTCTAAGTCAATAACTTCCATGTTTTGTTTTTTTTAAGTTATATCAGAGAACAACTATTGCAATCAAGGCTTTTTTTCAACCAGCTATGCAGGTCTATTATACATTTTCTTTTTTGCAAAATGGCTTGAGCTCAGTTAGGTTAGCATCTAATCTTGGACTTGTACAATATTTCCACTATTCTAAATTTTACACATTAACATGTTAACTGTTGCCGTTCTGGGTGTTTGTTTTGGATCACTGTCGTGCAGGAGGATAACCCCTTTCAACATTCTGAAGTCTTCTGCTGTATTTCCTATCAAAGAGTAAACCCTTTCTGTATCTAAGTCATTATATCTTTCCTTTAACTATATTCAGCCTAATATTAGTCAAGCTATTATAGTCGACTTATTGTTTCTAATTTAACAAAAGGAGAACCTTTTTTGCAGTAGAAGTACTTTAGGAGGGCACATATGGGACACTAAGTAAGCAAATTGAAGACTCTCTGATTATCAGAAAATGGAGGAGTGTGCCCTAGTGGTTAAAATAGAATAGAATAGAATAGAATAGAATAGAATAGAATAGAATAGAATAGAATAGAATAGAATAGAATAGAATAGAATAGAATGGAATGGAATGGAATGGAATGGAATGGAATAAAATAGAATAGAATAGAATAGAATAGAATAGAATAGAATAGAAGGGAGCTGCTGAAACAGGCTGCCTGCTCTTCACTGGCACCAGTAGACAGTAGGGCATTGTGCTTGGAATCCAGAGGTTCTGAGTTCAAGCCTCACCCCCACAGACTGAAACTCTGGGTCGCTGAGCAAGAACCTAAACCCCAAACTGTTCCCTGGGTGATGCACAATGGCAGCCCAATGCTCCCCAAGGGGATGGCTTAAAAGCAGAGAGATCCTTTCATTGCTCTGTACTTGTGACAATGTAATCACAGTAAAAATCTGAAAAAAAAAAGAGTTGATAAGTAATTACTTCATTAGAAGCTAGTATTGGCCCTATGAATGTCAACAGGTAAAAGAAAGTATATTTCACAAAAAAGTAATCTTTAAACTCAAATTAGGTCTGTTTTTACTACCAAATGCCCCACAGCATCAGATGAATAAAAATTCTTGCACTATGTGCACATTTCAAGTTCACTCAATCTGTTTACTGTGGTCACGCCAGAAGAGGAAATCAAGGGGGGCAAGTAGCAATTAAAAACATTCTAATGAACATGTAATTTCTAAAATGCCTTTGTTGTTTTTTTTTTTATTATTTGCTTTGATTAGCAGCCAGCAGCATCTACACTACCCATTTTGTAAGAGGAGCATGTGACACAGGGGCTCCGACAGCAGAGGGATCAGACACGAGAATGGGAGCCAGAGTGAAGACAAGTGTTTGCGTTACTACAGTCTAACTATAAAGCCAGTGGCCTGAATTTTGAGGTAGTATGTGTTTTTTTATATATATATTTAGTCAGTAAGTTTTTTCAAGTATTTAAAGAAGATGTGACTTTTTCTACATCAAACTAACAGATTTAGAGTTTTGCTTTTAGAAAGTAGTTTTTGTTCATTTGGCTGAGGATGTGTGAGGCTTTCATAAAAACTTGTTCCTGCACGACGCAGTGGTTTTAAATCAGATGTTTTGATGCTGCTGCTGTGACACTAAAAGTAGTATAACAATGTTTGTAATGTAAAAGTTTAGCTGAATACAATGGGAGAACGTACAGGTCATCTGTCTTCAAAAAGTGTTTAAGTAACTCCATTAAAAAGTGAAGATTCGTTGCAGATATTAACTTTTGACAACTTACAGCTTTTAAAAACCCCAATTCAATTTATTTACTTAATATTTAAAGATCTTACTGTTTGTAACAAATCCAATCAATATATCTGTTTTGCTTTTAGCTCTAGAATTATGTCTTTATTCTATTTATATTTTTTAATTTTAACCTGTATCTGTGTTTCACATCATGTTACACTGTACGAAAAGTTTGACAAGGAAAAAAAAAAACTGGAACAAACTGACCTAAGGTAAAACTACACCAATGGAGAGCAACCACATGAAGAGACAGAGACACGCATAAGGACAAGTTTACACATTCCCAAATATTTGGGGTGTTGAAAGTAAGAAAAAACATTACATATTGCTACAACAAAACTAGTACTTACATAAAAAAGACTGCATCTATGTTTACATGTAGATATTGAATAATTTTGCCTGTGGTAATGAAATATGACCTAACAACATCCCTAAGGATAGTAGGTAAAAATGCTGGGACATGTACCAGAAGTTTAATCCTAAAGCCCGGTAATTAAAATTAATGAAATACATTTATCTGTTTTTAATTCACATTTTAATAAAAAATCACTTTTCAAACATTTTTCATACCCTTTGCGAACTATAGGAAACATATTTTTGGTATTACAGAAAACTCATTGCTCACCAGCTTTTTCTTCTCTTCCACCAAAAAACAAACAAACATGATATTTAGTTTGGAGCTCCTACTCTAAAACACTGAAATTACTTCTAGTCAGTAATAATAAAAGATGACTAAACTTTTAATTGTGTATCTTCTTCTTGCAAATCAGGATTATCTTAGTGAGACATCTGGAAGTTCTAGCTGAGGATAATGTGGTTTTGTTCGTTTTCAGCTTATGTCAGTATGTCTAGACACTGACCACCTAAAGCTTTTGGGGCCTTTACAGTAGTATTTCTATCACAGTTATTTTAATCACTGCATTTTTATATAATAGCCAAAAAATATGGCATTGAAGAAATATGCTATAAATAAATAAAATTAAATAAAACATTAAATTAATAATTTGTTGAGGTGAAATAATGTGCTCATGATGATGGGAAATTCATGCAGTGCATATCAGAGTATATATTAATTGCTTACATAGTATATATAAAATAAATATGCAAAATGAAATTGTGATGGGATGCAACAATGATAAACATCAAGAAAAGAAAACATCAAATAGATCATATAAAGTTATTAAAGTAAAATTAGAAATAGAATTAGAAATAAAATGGAAAATAGATAATAGGAAGACTTCTCAGATACATCTTTAGTTCATTCACTGTACTTAATGCACTAAAGTTCAGTTAGACAGTATGATGCAGCTCAATGGAATCCTGGAACTCTTTTCTGCAGAGGAATCCCCTTTTAGGCAAAACCATTCATAGAGGGTACAATAAAACCAGAAACCCCCTAGATAACATTTGGTATAAAAGTATAATCTTAACAGGCCATATAAAACTAATATGCAACTGGGTTAGAACTGGCCAAAATTGAAAGATAGGACTGCTAATCAGCTGTGTTATTACACTGATGCGAAAATCAAATAATGGAGAGAAAGTTCCTCTTACCTACAAAAAAGTTTAAATCTTGTTTTCAGGACTTCCACTGTTTACAGCTGTTGCTTGTTATTTCAGTGAAGTGATGTGGATGGAATATTAAGCACCGTACTGTGAGTCAACAGCTCAACAGTCTTATTTCAAGAGAGGTCTGATCTCCCAGTTAGACTGTGTTCACAGTTAGAGCACATCTTTGTGCATACTAATGTGGTCATCCCCCTTAAACCTTCTTTATGCTATAAAAACATTCTACAATGCTTTTGAATGCATTATAGTTTTATTACTGTATATAGAGCAACTCAGTGAGTACAGTCACATGAAAGGATAATATTTATGGTTTTTCAATGTTTTTCTTTAAATATCAAAGTCTGAATAAAGTGCTGTGCATATTAGAGTACATCCCAATGCAAACGCTGTCTTAAAAAGTCATATAAAACGTGATGAATAAAGTGGTTATGTTTAAAGCAAAGTTATGTTATGAAATAAATATCCTAAACTTTAAGCATCTACAGCTAAGAGACAAAGCAGGGAGAGCATTTATAAGAGGAGTAGCTATTCTAATGCTGGAGAAGTTGCTGCATTCGTCACCTTAGGCGGGTCAATCTATCAACAGCACAATGAATCTGGTACAAACAGAAACATAGCATCAATTAAGCCTTTGTGTATTTCTGGTAGTCAAAAGCAACATGGGATGAGGATTATCTGCTTAAATGTGACTGAAATTATGTTTTTTGACAAACATATTTTCAGGTAAAATATATAATTATATAATATAACACCATAAATCACTCATGAAATATGGACGGTTAGGCTCTGGGTGTGTTACAGATACGTTTTTTTTTTAGACTTGATGTGAAGATGGATAAAGCTTTATAAAATCTGATAAAAACTGCAAGATACCTAAGAGTGCTGTATGTGTTCACTTTTCAGAAGAATAGCCACCTTAGCTTACAGTTATTTCGAGATTGAGGTCAAAATATGCAAAGTTCGTAAAGATATATTGAAAGAAAGTTGAGGGAAGATTAATGCATCTGTTTCATTTCTTCTCTTCTCACATAAAATGCAAATAAAACAAAATAAAGTTTGTGCTTGGGGCATAAGAACAACTGAATTTATGACTTCTCATGCAAAGCACTTTTTTTCTTTTACATTAATTACATTTGATAGGAAAATTCACAGTGCTTTATCCATTGCATTCTTTTTAAAATCTCCTCTTCTATTATGTATATTTAGAGCTTATTTGTTTAAGCCTCTAAAAGTCAAGCATATCAGCAGCCCTTAGGGTTGACAGTTAATGCCTGCAGGAAGTTCAGTTTTTTAGTTGAACCACACTTTTGTTCCTACAGTAAGAAACAATTTCAAGTCTTTTTTTTATTTAATCTTTATGACAGATGCAAAACACAACGCAAACTAGTTATGGAAGAACTGCCATGATGAACGAGACCAGAGGCTATGTGGGAATGACCACCAGTCCTGATGATAGCAACATCCCTGGGAATAGCAGCATGGGCATCCTGGTCATCCCTGAACCCATGAACACAGCTCTTAATGTTTTGACTGTGACCATCCTCTTCATGACCATGATTTCTCTTGGATGCACGATGGAGATCTCTAAAATAAGGACCCATCTTCTTAAACCAAAAGGAGTAGTTATTGCACTGCTGGCCCAGTTTTGTATCATGCCCCTCACTGCTTTCACTTTGACAAAAATCTTCCAGATGGATTCTATTAAGGCTGTAACTGTGCTGATCTGTGGTTGCTGTCCAGGTGGAAGCTTATCAAACATTTTCTCCTTTACAGTGAAAGGTGACATGAACCTCAGGTAAAAATGTCAGTATTTTCTTTTGTTGATTTTTTTGTTTACTGTTGTAAGATAATGTGTTGATTGAATGAATAATTACATTTTTTTCTCCCATTTGATATTTTGACAGTATCGTCATGACAACTTGTTCCAGCATTGCTGCCTTGGTTCTCATGCCTCTGTTGTTGTACATCTTCAGCAAAGGCTTCACTGGTCTAAGACATGCTGTTCCCTATGCAGGAATCATCACTGCACTCGTGTTTACATTGGTGCCTTGTGCTATTGGCATATGCATCAACCACTACAGGCCAAATTATTCCTCAAGTGTAACAAAAGTAGGTAATCAGACAATGGGACTGTTTTACTAATATCCCAAATAGGAAGCAGTAAATATTGAGAGTGAAAACAGGTGCAAAAGCTGAGTTTACCACTCTATTTAAATTAGGATTTGTGACTGATGTATTGTTACCATGAAGAGCTTGGGAGGACAAATTGAATTTATTCTTTATGTCCCAAAGGCAGCCACCATTTGCAACAGCACTGCACACAGTTAGCAGGTATGATAGTTTTATGCAGAAGATGTAATTAGAGAAGAAAAACACCTTTTATATTCCTTTGGAGTAAACAAAACAAAAATGTCTACAAAGAGCGAAGGAAAGAAGGGGTGGCTTCCCAGCAGAAGTTTTCAAAAACATCATCACTGATAATGCTTGAATAGCTTGAATAAAAAAAAAGGTGAAAGTATAATTTAATATAATACCATATGAATAAAAAATATTTGAACAGTGATTAAAATAGAGATATTTACTGCCCTTGACATATTTTTTTTATCTCTTTTCTGGGGAGGCTCAGAAATAGTAAGGAAGCAAATATAGTTGTTATGATTATTATTATGATATGACTATTACAATATGTTTTTTTGTATTTTTAGGTGGGATGAACTGACCCTTGTAACATTGTATATTTGACAGGTTGGTCTCAGCATCCTGTTGATATCCACCATCATAATTTCTGTACTGTCTGGTCTCGCTGTGAAGGATGTAATATGGATTATCCTCATGCCAGACATCCTCACTGTTGCTGCACTGATGCCTCTGATTGGTTTTATTCTGGGATATGCGGTGTCGGTCATTTGCAGACTCAGCCCACAGTAGGTCAAAACATTTTTGTCATTAGGTCATTAAAAGGGAGTTCACGACTCTGTATCACATTAAAATTTCTTCTTTATCCAAATAGCTCAGCTTTATCAAAGACTGTTCATTGTACAGAAGGGAATAATATGTGCTGTCTGTTGCCACCTAAATATGATATTATTCCACCTTACCATTGTCTTCTATAATTGAACTTGTGTACCTTAACATGTGCAAGGAATTGCAGCAACCTCACACATGCAAGGAGGCAAAACACCATCACATGTTATCAATCAGTTGTTATCTAAATATTTCAGTAAAGATTGTAAGTTAATTTTGTCCTCAATCTAAAAGGAAATGATTTTTACACTGACTTTAATCATTTTTCTTACTGTAGATGCAGCAGAACCATCTCCATGGAGACAGGGTGCCAAAACATGCAGCTGTGCACCGCCATCCTTAAGGTGGCTTTTACTCCACAGGCCATTGGACCCTTGTTTTTGTTCCCTTTAGTGTACATTGCATTCCAGTGTGCAGAGGCTCTAATCCTGGTGCTGTGCTTCAGATGTTACCAAACAGTCACAGCACAGCATGCGGGTAAGTTTTGGAACAAGTTTTGTGGAATGAGGAAAATAAACAACCTAATAAAACAAGAACCAATGAACAGTGTCAAATGGCAATCTGAAGCATATGTTTGTCTTTTAGAGCTTAAAAAATATATTTCTGTTCTACAGATCAAAACTACAATTAGAACGTTGCTGCTGAACAAGAACAGATCAAACAGCCATGAACTTCAAAGAGAACAGTGTACCCTGGAGGGAGGATTAAAAAAAGATATTTCATAGTGCAAGCCTGTGATGTAACAACAGTGGCAAAACATTGGAGGATGAAAATATTTGTTTCAAAAGTTTGAGATTTATGAATGTTATAAACTAAATAGCTGATAAAAAAAATAATATCAATTTCTGGCTTTATTGCAAAGGTTAAACAAAGTTCTTATACGGATCCCTTTGATTTCTAATGTGTTTTTCTAATGTATGATGTGTGCAGCCATTATCAATCTTCACATCTAAATGGCTCCAATTGCAGGAAATCTGCTGCTAATAACATTGCTTCACATAGAACAGTTTTTTAAGAACTTTAAATTCAGATGCTCATTTGTATTAAGTGATTTTAGGGTCTAAAAACGCAGAGCAAATGTTTGTACAGTTGCTATAACTCAGGAATGTTTAATGGAATAATGTTGCCACCAGTGCAAAGCTTGCTCAATATTAGTAGCATAGGTGAGTGACAGAGTACCACTTCACAAAGCATTGGTCATATTAATATGGCTCAAATATTGTTAAACTGAAATCATGGACCCAAGACCAAAGAAATATTTTTAACTTGGAACACCTGTGACAGGTAAAACCAAAAGCACTCAAAAGACAAGAGTGGGCTGCCAGTCAGCCAGGATTTTGCCCTGACTTTGGTTTGAATTAACCACCAGAATATTAATCAGTAATCAATCTAATCAAGGTGATGAATCAAATTAGCCTATGCTAATCAAGTACTGAATGATTATCTTTTAAAACACTGGTTTCCAACCTCTTTTTAACTCGTGTAACCCCCTGGCAATTTTATCATACCATAAGAACCCACTTAAAAATGTATATATATATATATATATATATATATATATATATATATATATATATATATATATATATATATATATATATATATATATATATATATATATATTTATATATATGCACTAATGAAAAATAACTTTTCTTTTTAAAGACACCTTAATACCTGAAAAGCTGTTAAAGGCAACAAGAAGCATTATTATTATTTGAATAATTTAACTTAACATAGATACATTTTAAATATGCTATAATTATAAGACTATGTTAACACAGCCTCACTGATGTGAGTCATACATTTTTGAAAAAAGAGGTATTATGAAAGCTTTTAACATTTAGTAAACATAGGCCTCAGTAGTGTCTGGAAGAACATTACACAACCACAACAGCCAGGGTCGTCTTCTGCTGATCAGCAGCTTAGTCATACATTACTAGCATTTAAAGTCAGTCAGTCTATATGAACAGAACTCCCAAGCTGATTCATCAAGTGCACAGTGAGTTTGAGGTCAGGTTTCTTCACCCAAAACTCTCTACATAAGCTCTGATCTAATATATATACAGTTTCTGTTTATATTCAGAATGATTTAACGTCAGGTGCAAATCTGAATGCAGAATTGTCTGCTGTCCTGCAAAAGTGGCTTATTCTGGTGTAATGCCAGATTTATTCTAGAGTTGGAAGGTCATTGGTTCTCCTTGCACTTCTTCATGCATTCTTTTAATCATTATCATCAGATCTAAAGCTTGCAACAACTCTCGTCACACAAAAAAGGAAATGGTTTATATGACAAACTGCTGCTATGATTAATATGAAGATGCTTTTTAAAAATTTTTTATCAAGGTTTATGTGGTTATTAGTAAAATGTTTCATAAAATAGCTTCTCTCAGAATGTCTTTAGGTAAACATTTGTTGTGCTGAATACATTCTGCTGTTATAATAATACAATACTACTTTTACACATTTATTTTGTTAATAAGGTTGGTTATTAAGTATAATGATCATTGATAAGAAAATAATGTTTCTTTCTTTTTTTTTGGCAGTTTTCAAACCATTGTTATTGTTTTTCTTTCTATAACCTTAAAAACTGAAAGATCAACTAAAGAAATAAAAATCCCATTTATTTAACAAGAACTTTGTGCATCCAGGGTGTCTCTTAAGTTGATGTTAGTACCATACTTTCGGAACTATAAGCTGCTAGTTTTTTCCCATGCGGTTTATACAAAGGTGCAGCTTTACTGTAGCTTTTACCAAATCTCCAAAAGAGGGATATCAAAGTTGGAAATCAAAGAAGGGGGTAACTTTCATTGAGCACATACACTGTCCCAAATTCACATATTTTCACACAATAAACTATGTGCAACTCCTTAAGAGCCGGGTAGTGTCGGCCTAGTGGTAAGGGCATTGTGCTTTGAATCTAGAGGTTTTGAGTTCAAGCCCCACTCCCACGGACTGACACTCTGGGTCCCAGGGCACCGCACAATGGCAGCCCACATCCTTCCAAAGGGATGGGCTACATGCAGAGAGTTAACTTCATTTCTTTGCACTTGTGACAATGTAATGAGAATAAAGTTGAATTATATTCTAAATAAAGAGCTGACTGAACCCCACCTTTCATTTGAAGCTCTTAGTGCTGCGAGCCAACAACTTAATGGGAGCTAGCATTCTTCTTCGTCCTTACTCTAAGGGTCATATGTAGACCTTCCTCTACACATCAGTACATATCAGGAGCTTATAGCTCAGTGCATCTTATATATGTAAGTTTCCATTATTATTATTTTTTTTTTTTTACTGAGCTGGTGCGGATTTATCTGAGATGCTCTTTATAGTCTGGAAAATATGATAGATCAGGTACATAGTCTACTAATCGACCAAACACAAACACTTGTTTCTGGTATAAATCTTTTGTTTCTGCTAAAAATCGTTCAAAACACATCCTTTCATCCTAAAATGAGTAATGTCTTTAGTGAGGTCATCCAAACATTTAATCAAAAATAAAAAAGCAGTTAAAAGCAATTTGAGCACATCAAATCATATTTAATCAAATATACACAATATATACAGAATCAGACCTTAAAGTTTGTACATATATTAGAGCACAGCTGTAACAAAAACATACAATCTTTAATCTAAAAGTAAACTCAGTCAAAGGTCAAGTAAAGCAAACACAAAAATCACACTAATCTGTACATTTGCTCTTTTTTTTTTTCTCCGTCAGGCTTTTCTTCCCGAGGAATTCACATCAAATCTGATGTCACAGCAGCTGGGGTAAAAGGAGAAGCTAACCATCTTTAATCAACAACACGAGCTGCAGAGGCAATACAACAGCTGATCAACAGCTTTCTCAGAACAAATATATTACAAACACATTTAGGCTTAAAGCAGGAGTTTCCCAGAAGCCTGAATAAATTAACAAAGACAATATCTTCAGGTGTACAAGTGAGGTGTTTCACGATGCCACAACTAATCAATCACTAAGCAGTAAGGGCATTTTACTGACATTCACTTTTAAAACTCCTTATTTCACATAGTACAGTGCATAGAAGTGGAAAGCTAAGGCCTTATAAGGAAGAGTATGAGCGAGAAGAGCGGAAATCAGCAGGAGAAAAATGATGTATGTAGTATTGACCTGCACAATGACATAATCTAAAACTTACAAAAACTTAGAAGAAAACACTAAGCATTTACTACTTCTACAGGAAAATGAGTTCATGCATTTAGCATATGTGTTTTAACATGATGTATGATCTCAGAAAAGTAAACAAGTCAGATTTTTTTGTTTTTACAAAATGAGTTTAAAGACTTGCTCAATAAACATCGAAGCATCAGTCTCAGTTTTCTTTAAAGACAAGCGCCCTTTGACCTGTCTCTCCTTCCATTTCTATGTTTTCAGGAAGTAGAAAAACACACATATTGTGGGGAAGCCTAGATTTAACATATGTACATGTAATTGCCTCCTTGGTTTGATGAGCTTCTGAGAGTGGTTCACTATTCACTGGCGTCATCTCTGTTGATAAAAGTCTGCGAACCAGTAAAGGTCAGTTCCATATGCTTTAAGCCTCCTTCAGTAACGGCATATCTATGGAAGAAATAATACAAGTCATTACAAAATAAAAGCTCAGGTTCGTCTAGGGTTAAATCAATACATTATTTTAATATTGGAAAATAACATAATTCATTTAAAAGAAGGAACTCATATTATACACGGTTAAAACATGATGTTAGCAAATCTTCCATAAAAGAAAACACTAACTGTAAAATGACCCCAGTTTGACATTAATATAAGCCAAACTTGTTCTGCTTTAGGTCTGTTAGGATCATCAAACTTATTTCCTGACTGAAGTCTTCAGATGCTGCCTCGCCATTTCGATATAACAGGGATTAAAGCAAAAAAAAAAAAATCCTGATGCGTGTGTGTGTGTGTATTTTCAAGCCATGACAGGGGGGTGTGGGGTTATGGGATCAGAAATTGCATGAATTATTAAAGACTAAATTTGACTTTTGAAAATCCAGTACCAAAAACGTCCAGAAGATGGCAAAAGTGCATCTATATCTACCACTTGCATGTACCACATTTCTTTTGAGATCTAGTTTTGCTGCTCAGTGAAGAGTGTTTTTGGCGAGGAAAGCACAGACCCTTATTTCTAACTTGCATACACGGTCAGTTATTGATGCTGGTACATCATCTTTTGCTATATGCTGTACCTTAGAGTGACCATACGTCCCCTTTTTCCCAGACATGTCCTACTTTTCAGGCCTAAAAAAAACGTCCGGAAAATTTCAAAATCGTCCGGGATGTTGGTCGACTACAGCGCAGCACGTAGTCGAAAGACACCGGGCACTGGAACAGAGCCGTCAGCTCCAGGGCGGGTCGGGGAACCCCGGCAGACAGGGGTAGGGAGTCGGCGGGGGACGGAGCGACAACAACTGAACCCGAACCGGTAACGGTAGCCTGAACACCGGCGGCCCTGTGCTTCCGACTGAGGAACTCCAACCCCTTACACTGTAGTGTAAAGTGCTTTGGAGTGTACTTTCTTGAAAAGGTGCTACATACAAGCACAGGCCAATATACTTTAGCTAGCATCTTTACAAAGATCGTTTTTTATTCCGGGACTTTGCAAATAGAGGTAGTCCCGATAATCACTGCTTAGCTTAAAAATTAAGTCTAATTTAATGTAAGACAGAAAAAAAAGGTATTCTTTACCATCAGAGTAGTCCATCTCTGAGTCTAGAGACAGGCTTTGTTGGTCGCTGCCTGCAGACGGCCTTCTACGTGCGGCTGATGTGCCTCCAGCTGCACCTGCATGCTCCAGAATCCAACCAGACGACAACGGTGAGGAAGAGGAGGATTGCAGCCCAGGGTGGACAGGCATCTCTGACTGTTGCTGTTTGAGAGAGGATGGCCTCGACGGGCCAGCCTCTAGTGGTGAGGCATGCTGACCCTCAGACAACACGATCTGCACTCTAGACTCTGGGCTAAGTGTTGAGGCTCCGTTGCTGCTCACAGCCTCCTCATAGGAGGGAAGAGTCACCTGGACCCCTTCCACCATGATGGAGACAGGCTGCCCTGACACCCCCTGGTCACGCCTGAGAAGAACATTTAGAATCTGTTCATTTCTTTGGATGATCAGCAGATTTAAGATATTCGGAGGGACATCTCACCGGTGGAAAGACTTGAGTTTAGGCTGCAGAAGTACAAACAGCACCACCAGGAGCAGGATCAAAGCCACTGAGCTTGCGGTGGAAGCTACTATGGACAAGGCAGGCATTCCCAAAGGTAACGTTGGAATGTGGTCTTTGAGACAGATAAAACAAACAGATTTATCTTGCCTTAAAGAATATTATTGTTTAAATGTGCCTCAGTCTTTACCTTGCTCCATGACACAGCTGATCTTCATCTGGTTGTCCCACTGGCCATACTGGCAGGTAAGATACTTATAGTCGCCTTTCAGAACGTAGCCTTCATCGCAGAAATATTCCACCACAGTGCCCTGAGAAAATCTTCGGCAGGGGGATGGGTGGCATGTGTAGCCTCCGTTCTCTGGTTGATATGGAGAATCACAAACTGTCCACAAGAATAAAGCACATGTTAGAGAACACACAAGTTAAGAACAATAGATGTTCTGCTACAATGCTGCAATGCATTCAAAGTCACAGGAATTTTCTGTTTAAATAAAAATGTATCAACTGTCTTTAATCGTATCCTGTTATTCTTGTTAATTGATTTGTTAGCTTGTTGCTTTTTGGGTTAGAGGTTTAATTCAGAGCCAATCCTCTTTTTCACTTCTTGTCAAATTACAAGCACAAACTTCAAAGCATTTAATAAGATTAGCAAAAGCCCGCCATCCCGAATCAATAGAATAAAAAAACGTTTTCTACTGAAAGTCTTTAGTTTTATGTCTTTATCTAGCCTGGGTGCCAGTCCGAACTTAGTCCCGCCCACAAGGTTTGAGTTCGGGGAAGTTCGGTCTGGCTCTGCTCCATAGTAGCGCGAGTATTAAAGCCCACTGTCAGGCGATCCAATCAAATTGTCAGAGCGGGCTTTATACGATGATGGACAGATGATCAAGAGTAACGTTATCAACCACGTGACCAAAGCGCGCTTGGGTGACAACAATAATGGCTGCCGCTGGAGAGTTTGGGTGAGTAGATTCTGCTATTAGGTCTGTTCTAGAAGATATCGACAGCAAATTAATTTTAAAAGAGGAACAGAGAAACGCGATCAAGTCTCATCTTCTTATTCTAGGCGTGAAAGTGCACGCTTTGATTTTTGTGGACAACAACTATGCCTCGCTTAAGATACGTCACGCACTCCGTTGCTCTTATTGGTTGTAGGTCTATCCAATTGAGTGCAGAGGCATTTTTTTCCTGGTTCGTTCAAAACACGCCCCATAATCACAGCTCTATGGAGCAGTATCAGACTCATATTCTGCCTAGAATTGAGTCGGACTACGTCAGGCTAGTCTTTATCAGCTTTGAGGCTTAAAAAATACATGTTTAATTATTTTTTATGGTAAAATAATCTAAATCTTAGTCCAACTGGCTGGAGAATGATTAAAATAACTTTGAAATGTTCCAACTTGTCTGCCCTTTGTCTTGGTAATTTAAAGCAGGAACATGAGTTGATTTGAACCATTTCATTGTCTATTTGGCACTATGCTCTCAGGTCTGTGTTTTACTGTGTCCAACAGGCTTTTTTCTTTTTCATCCAGACTTTAGAAAATGTACCATAGGCTGATGCATCCACCACCATATTTCACCTTTTTGCCACAAAGCAGCACATATTTTATGCAAGTGTGTCAGAATACTTTTTAGTAATTGGGTTGTGGAAAAATATATTAAAAACAAGCAATGGCTTTTCAGTAGAAGTAGTTCTTCTGGCCACTCATCTATAAAGGTAGTAATTGTGATGATGAGTGACTGGCGGTCCCCTTAACTGATTCTTCCCCCTAAGCTGTTACTCTCTGCAGATGCCCCAGAGTTATCACTGTTTTTTACTGCTTCCTCTGATGTTTGTGTAGCTCAGCAGTAGTTTGGCTAATTCTGAGTATGTTTGCAGTTTTTCTGTACTTTCTTTGAAATGATAGATTGATCACTGTGAAATGTAAGTTTGGGAACTCATTTTAGAGAAAAACTGTACTATGAACTTAATTTAACGTGTTATGTGGTCTTTAAGATACTGGTTGTTTACTAATGTTCTCTGGAAGAGAGAGACACATATATATATCCCATTTACACTACCCTTGAAAAACCGATCCATGCCGAGACCGGTCCGAGTTCGGATCAGTTAACCAGGCCGAGCTTGGTTCTGACGACCGTTTACACATCACGCTATCTCGGTTCCTCGACTCGCCGCCTCCTACTGACGATCTGCGGTATTACTGCCAGTATTGAAGGATGAAATCAAGCAGTTGGTGGCGGTAATGTACCAAATGTTGTTTGCCAACCGTAATAAAACACAAGAAGAAGAAGACGAAGAAGGAGGGAATCAAGCAAATCAAAATGGCTGTGCCCGTCACATTCAGAAAGTTATGCTTGATTATTGCTGTACGTCGGTGTTTGCGGAGGGTCAGGCAAAGAGGACAAATTTTCGTGGATGTTTATAGTTGTTTATAGTTCTTCTTCTTCTATTTTGTGTTGGTTGGCAAGCAACTTCTGAAGGGGCATTACCGCCAACTACTGGAATGGAGTGTGAATCGGGATGTGCAGCCAGACGGAGATGAGGAGTTCTGCTCATGCGCTCTTGTTATCAGAGAACCGAGCCAGGGAAAAACCGAGCCGAGCCCACCTCTAGAACTGGTCTGCAGTTAGCGCGGTCCGGTTGTGTCTAGCTCGGTTCAGTTCAGTTTGCTTTCCATTTAAACACGATAAGTTATCTCAGTTACTGAGCTCGGACCGGTCTCGGCACGGTTTTTCAAGGGTAGTGTAAATAGTGTAATAATATCCCTGCAGAGCAACTCAAAAGATCATCAGATTTCCTCTGCTATGCCAGGAGACTGATCAGGAGAGCAGAAAACATCATCATAGACAAAGCTAATTATCTGTAGACTGATCCCTTCCAACAGGCATTACAGGTCAATGAAACAAAAAGAATCACCCAAAAAATGTTTCATCTAAAGGCCATCAGAGTCAAGGGTGCTGTATACAAATACATGAAACATGTTTATGATTTGTACAGCAAGTGACCAAAAAACATAAAAAATACATTGGGGCAAAAGTTAAAAAGATTGTAAAATCTTTTTAGGACTCCATTTGTTCTGGATGAATGAGGACCTTTGATAGCTCTCTTAAGGTAATAACAATTCCATGTAAAACCAAATACTAAAGCACGGCGGCAAGTAAAATAGATAATTTGGACAAAATATGAGTTTCAACAGGGAATTACGATGCATCTTTACCGTCACTATGTATACAGCGAGGCGGTTCGGAGGACCAGTGTCCCGGTGTGGTACAGGTGAGGATGCCGGCTCCATCCAACAAGTAACCAGGTTCACAGTTATACTGCAGCACTGACCCCACTGGGAACAAACTACTATTCAGGTCAGTTAGGTTTGTTATGGCATGTTCCACCATGGAGGGTCTTACACAACCTAAAAAAAAGAAATAAAAACAAAAAGAACATATAAGCAAAAAATGCACTTCTTTATTACTTATTTATTATTATAAAACTCTTAAATTTTTTTTATAATTTTATCTCCACCTTGTTTAATGACACAGCTGACAGGTGATATGTTGTCCCATTTTCCATAACGACAAGTTCTGAATTTGCTGTCTCCTTTCAGAATGTAACCTTCATCACAGAAATACTCCACAGCAGTACCGTGAGAAAATCGTCTGCATGGGGAAGGGTGGCAGGTGTAACCTCCATTTTCTGG